AGTTTAAAATTAAAGGCTTGACACCAACCTGTGTGCGTCGCTTTTTTGAAAGCAACGTTTCTGCAAAATGACTTAAAATAACCAACCCATGCAGGAACCAGTACTGCAATTATATGAAGCTGACCTTTCTGAAAATACACACCCCAAAGGCTGATTTTCTAAGCCCTTGCAAGTTCCTTTTACCCCTTTTCTCCATGTCTGTAGCCTTAGAGAAAAAGGTTATTTCAGGAGTGTGTTTGTGTCTGGAATGTGTTTCTCTCTACAGGAAAGAGTGTGTCAAAAGAGGATATAAAAGCCAGTGAGTTATGAATCATGGACCCATATTAAGACATATTTCTGTATCTCCTCTAAGGCATGAAAGAGCAACTGAGATAGTACTTTGGGGTTGTTAGATTGGAAACAATCTTCTCCTTTGTATTAGATAGTACAGGTGAACAGGACAGGGTAATGAAAGAAACAGGTGGCCCCAACGTACAGTGCTTTAGGAGGAAAACAGCAGTAAAAATTTCACTCAGTTGGGCTGGGTCATTTGCAGCAAACACTTGCATCGCAATAATGTACAAACACCCCAGCAAGGCTTGGAGCCATTTTGCTTCCCAAGCTGTGCAGAGCCCTGTGCAGGCACCCAGAGCTGAGGCAGCTGCCCAGGCCAGGCAGGTGACTGCCTGCTCTCTCACTTGTGCGGCATGCAGAAAAGGCAGGGAGGAAAACAGATTGCATGCAAGATAAGGGCTTGTGGTCCTGGTGGTTGGGGCAGGCACATTCTGTGGTGATAAACAAGATGTGTCTGTGCACACAGATAAATGACAAAACTGACTGCTGCCCACCAAAAGTACAGAAACAAGGTCTGGAGGAGCAAGGCCTCACACTCTTGGTAGGGCTTCTGAAGTTGGGCATTTAGAAGAGCAACATAGGGTCTGTTTCACACAGAGTTGTGGTCTTCATTCTCATTCGTGACTGAACTAAAAATGTCTGCTTTTCACGTAGTCATTTGTAAAACAGATCAATCTCCCATTTGGCTGTTTTCTTACTGGGGTGCCTGAAGAAGCTGCACGGATCACTCTGCTGTGATCCCTGCACAGCGCCTGAGAAATGCTGCTGTGCAGATGTGCAAGGGAGAAAAGGCAGCTGACTCCCAGTGCACTGAAGGGACAGGAAGAGGGACCAGGCCAGGAAATGCACTCAAAAATCATTTCACTATTTCACCCAGGTCACTGGTGTTATCTAAATTGACAGGATCATTTCAGCTTTGTTTCTGAACCAGGCTTCTCCCATTCTTGACTGGCCAGTAAACAATGGGCAGGCTTTATACCTGTCCTCTTCATGGCTGGAGGGGTGAAGTCAACCTTCTTGAACAAAGGGTAAGATTGTTTCTAAGTCACTGGCTGAACAAACAAACATCCCTACCTTGAATTCATTTCAGACTTCCACTTGTTTAATGAAAGAAAGATTAACTAGAAAATAAACCACTAAAGAACTGCAGGGAAATACCCAAGAACTACAAAGCTATTGAATCTGAAGACCTACTGCTGGAAAACAAAACCTGCTGAACTGAGGAGATGCTTGTGAAGCAGTTTTACAGGAAGACAAACTCCAGGTACTTGCACACGAGGTTACAGATAGACAGGCAATGCTTGAACAAAGCCAAAACAGAGGATAATTTGTGGATCCAAAAAGTAAAAGGAGCTCTGAGGTTTGTATCACTGATGGCTGTAGTCCACAGCATGTGCAGGAACACTCTTCTCTCTCTTGGTGTGCTGTTGTCAGCTGAGATCACTGTGTCTTGTGCATGGGGCTCACCTGCCATGGACTCACCTTAGATAACTCAGCTGCAGGAAACTCTCTCCCTAAGCTAGATCTGGTAAGGTGCTGCTAGCAATCTGCAGCAGCAGCCCTGAACAGGACGCTTGCTTTTAAAAACAATTACTTCGATTAAATATAAATATAAATATAATATAAATAGTATAAATACAAATTATATAAATATAAAAGTCTAAGTATAACTGTAGATATACATATAAATAATATAAACTCAGACTTTAACTCCATCATGGGGCAGAACAGTTTATTACTGTTTCTTATAAGAATAAATGGAAGTGTGGAGTCTCAATTCATGCAAGGGAAAATGTGGTCACTGAAAATGATCTAAGGGGTCTTCTTTTAGATTTACCCAGGGAAGAAGAGCCTTCTGTCCTGCCAGAAACTAGATGATGTACACATCATGACTACAAGTAAATTTAGACTTAAAGGTAAAACTAAGCTATACCAAAGCCATTTGGTACCAAGCGGTACCAAACAATTTATAAACTTCCACATGAGACTGCCAATATGGGTGTTAAAGCAGACTCCAGCCTACCACAACTGGCCAAGGCAAGGCTTTCAGATGCCAGGTACAAAATGTAGAACCTCCAGAGTAGTGGAAAATGCCTTATTGCATCCTCCTCTGCCCTGGGTTGCTCTGAGAGTTACAAGGACTTCAGGACAAACTCAGCAGACCTGAAAGTTTCTGGATATACAGAGTCTCCAGTGCCTATGAGCCACGTGCTGATTTACCACTGCCAGCCTACGTACCCCTAATCTCAGCTGTGCCTCAGCTTCAGCACCAGCAAAAACTGCTGCTGACCTAAATTCCAAGTTAAGTGGTGTTTGAGTGAGACTATTCCGTAATTTTCCAAAAAAATGCTGCAGGTTTTTCTGATAAATGCACTTAAATTTATGACATCTTAGACTTGAACAATCCTGTTTTGTTGTAAATTTGCATATCTTTTTTTCCAGTGGGACCATAAATTACTTCTAAGAATTTCATTTTAGTACAAAGGGAAAGCTATACTCTTTTACTCATACAAGGTATGGAGAATCTTCCCCCACCAAAAAAAAAAAAAAAAACAAACTAAAAAACCAAAGAAATCCCACAAAAACCCCCAAAAAACCCCCGCAACCAACCAAAAAAAAAAAAAAAAAAAAAAAAAAAAAAAAGGAAATTTGTACAGCTGTATCTTCTATCTGGAATATTAAAACTAGCTGAAATGATATCTGTTTCTGAGAAAACAAAAAGTCATCTTCTTTTTTGACTGTTTTTGTCTACTTGTTTTGATCCAAAACTTCGTAATTTTAAAAATTTTCTTTTAAAGAAAAACTAAACACATTCACATCAGTGTTCAGTGCACACCTTTTTGTGGCAGAGAATGTATATAAAGGTGGGTCTCATTCCCCCACTTTTTCATCCAAAACACTTTTTCCTGTAGAGTAGGAATAAATAATTTCTTTTAAATAAAAATTTTAAAATAAAAAGTCTGACACTCCTTGAAGGTGTCACTCAGACAAAACCTTCCTATTGATTGCTGGAACCATCCAGCCAAAATTGAAAGGCTGTGTTTAAAGCACAGTAAAGCTTTCACTGCCCTGCCTTACCTGCACTTTAACAATAATCAACTGTCTTGTGGTCAGGAGAACTGCTTTGATGGTGGATTCTCTTCTAGAGTTTTAACTTTTAAAAAACCCTACGCAGCAGCTCATTTGTCCAGTGTGAAGATCTGTATCGGTCTTGCACTTTCAAAACAGGAAGATACGCAAGGAGTGGAATTGTCCCGTCCCACTGTAAGAGGAGTCAGGGAGGATTCATTTGATAGATTTCTGGGATGAAAATAATGCCCAAAAGCAGCAAATACCTGAGAACCATTTACTGATACAGAAAGGATATGGTTCTGACCAGAGTGGGATAGAAAAGAGACCAGAGAGAGAAAAAGAGAGATGGAGAGAGTAACTGCTTTTATCTGCCAAGGCTGCTCCCACAGCTCCATTTCCCAGGCATTTTTTCCCAGGCATCCTTGACACCTGGCATGTGTCAGGGCTTTCATTACTGTACAGTCCCTGCAGTAATTTTTCACCTCATGTGTAATATATATTAAGGCATAAATAAAAATCAAACCGGTCCCTCTCAGAAATGTTTTTGAAATCTTGCCTTTACTAACCTTACTGCAAAGGGGTGAGAAGGAGAAGACAAAAAGTACAGTCTGTGCTGTACAAAACACACTGCTACTCATCTTTGCTAAATTTGCCTCTCCTCATTGCCACAGCTGCTTGCCCCAGCATGGGGGATGTCACATGCAGCAGGGCACAGCAACAGTGAGAAATAAGTTACCAGGGGAAATGTCAAAATCAGTTTGCAAATGAGGTGGTGGATGTAGAGGACGACTTGGAGGTGGGGGAGGTTCACAGGAAAAGGTTCTTTTTTCCTACTCAGAGTTGTGAAAGATTCGAGTGCCATGGTGCTGGGGGTGTTGAAGGTACTTTCCCAGTTGTAGTACAGATATTTCACTCTCCCTTTATATCCTTTCCCAGAAATTGTGCTCTCCCTCCATCCTGAACCCCCCCAGAGTCATGCACAAAACACCTTTGCTCAATTTTTTCCACCCTTAAGGAACAGGAATTTTGTCACCCACTCCCACACAGCTGGAACCTCACCCCAAGGAACAGCCCTTTTCCTGCCACCTTTGGTCCTTTTCTCCTGCACAGAGAAGAAGTAATCAGAACCTGTGGTTACCAAAAGGGCTGGTATTTTACTAACCAGAGCTCTTGCAGAGACTCAGAGGCATTAGACCCTTGAACTGTTTAATAAAGCTTAAGAAATAATTATTGTCCAATGGCCTAATATAGCTTAAAATAAACCCATTAACTGCTGACTTACAAAATACCCTGGCATCTTTGTATGTGGAGGCAGAACGCAGTTGTCAGAGGATTTATTTCCTTCATCTACAGAAAAAATAATTAGGACCAGCCCTAACCAGAATGATATGGTGTCTCTAAAGAGGCACTTGGCGATTGTCTCCTAAAAATATTCCAGGCAAAATGCTTCAAACTAATTAGTACAGAAGCTGTTGTTGTTGACAAGGGACACACAAAAAACATCCATATCATATGAAAAACTGCAAAATACCATTTTGGAACTGGTATTGTGGAAAGGGTTTCACATCCAGAAAGGCAGACATGACAGCTGCACATCCTTTCTCTGCTTTAATAATATATTCCTTTTCAGAACTTCAAGAAAATACAGATACACAATCAGCCTGCATTGCTTCATGAAAATATTACATTCCCATAAAACACAGAGACTCTTTTAAATATGCTTGCTGCTTTAGACAGTATTCCACTGGTCTGGATCACATTTATTTGAAACTTTTTAGACAAAGGAATAACAGAAGCTGATCGCAGGCTCCTTAGCATTTTTAGGAGAGATCCTCATTCTTCTTAGGCACGAAGCAAGGACAGACCAAGAGACAGTGAGATGTGTCAGTCACAGCTGATTTGTCTGTCAGCACCCAGAAGGAAGGGCTGGATCTTGCAGGGTGCTGCACTCTTCAAATGTTGGTTCAGTGAGCCAGGAATGGTTATCAAGATCTTACTGAGTTGTCCAAGTTGTAGCTGTGTCTGCTTCTGGGGTGAAGCTGAGCTCATCACAACTCCCAGAGCATCTGTGGAGCCTATGGGAGGCCAGCAGAGCAGACAAGGTCACTCAGCATCCACCTCAGCCTGGCTTGGAAATTGCAAGCAGAAAAAATGATCACAGCACTCAACATAACCATCCAGCTGAAGACTTCTCTCCCACTAACACCTGGACTTACGTTTCATCTTCAGTGTGGAATCAGGCTTATTTTGGAAGCTTATTTTAAAGTCCAATGTGTTTTTAGCAATACTATTTCTAGTTACAATTTAGAGATGGCATTTCTTTAATTCTGATTAATCTGTTAAATAAATATGCAAATATATCAAGTGCTCTATATAAAAATACATACACACAACAAACAACCCCTCATAATAAAAGCATGATTAATAAAAATATGTACTGTATTATACATATGAAATGGCCGTCTAGTTTTGAAACTATAATGAAACAATTACACATAAGTCACAGGACATAATCTAAAAAGAATCAGCATATATAAAATAATGGCTTTGCCTCTTTAGCATCTCTCATTTAAAAATATACAAAGAACCCAACCAGTGTTGCCTGTGCTTTTATAGCTACTGACTTTAGGATAAATTATGAAAAAATTTACGGATTTCTTCATTCAACATCTGAATAGGATATGAATAACGTGCCACAGATTTTTCTTGGTTTTTAAAAGAGAAGTTTAGCCTCCAAGACAGTGAAATATGTTCTTCTCACTGAGACCCATGATCAGTTTGGATTTAAAGAGAGGAATAATTCTTACTCTGGATCTCCATACTTAGTGGAATGAGTACCTAACACCAGTTTAATCACAGCCTTCAACAGATAATTTTGATTTCTAATGACAAATAGAAAAGTGTGCTAAAAACATTAAACAAGAATCAATGCACTGTTCACAGATGAAATATCTGACCTGCATAAAGTCAGAAAACATCCCGTGTGTATTTTAAAACATCACCTTGTCTTGGGACTTTTTGCCCAGGTGTAAATTGCCCTGAGGAGATCTGCCAGCAGATACCAGGGCACTTGAGCATTTCCATGAAGCACATGGGAAACTGCTGGAGGGCTGTGACTCAGAAATATAATCAACAGTCTTGTGCTTTATGTTCCAGTAAAGATCAGTGCTAGCTAAAGTCAGTATTTAGCCAGCTGAATATTCATCCTCCAAACTGCTCCAGATGGAGAATATAATGTAACATACCCTAGCAGAACAGTTTCAAAGACAGGGGCTACGGTCAGTGAACAGAGCTCCTGAATAACCCTGCTACAGACCATCCACATCCCACAGCTGACACAGAACAACGTTTTCCCCTGCATTTCCTGGGGGGACTCCAATTAGAAGTAACAATTCTCCCTCCATTCCAATAAGCTTTCTTAAAAACGGCACAGACCACTGGTAGTAAATAATTGTTTTCCTGACGATTCATATCAATATAATGCACAGCATCATAGCTCAATACAAATACTTTACATAACAGACACAAAAGGACGTAACAAAAGCATGTAACAATGCAGCTCAGCTACTCTACTATATTACATGGCTGGGAAGAGTTTCCTTTCATTTGCTTTGATCTTTTCTGTAGAAAGTGAATTTCTGGTACCAAAAAGCAAGCAATCTTTCTTTCTGGTGTTTTAAAAAGCTGATGGAAAAATGCAGATGAAAAAGAATTCAGAAGAAATGAGCAAGATCACAGAAAAGCAACTTTTAAAATATCAGCAATCACGCTTAATATAATAGTTATAGGGGAAAAATATTTAATAGGCTCAGCATCTCCTCAGTAAAACAGAGCAGAATATAGAGACCTATTTTCAGGAATAAAATACTGTCAGCTTCCCTAGTGATCTCAATTACTTGATTTGTGCATATGTGTTAGAGCTGGGGTCATTTTGTTTCATTCACTATCTTAACTAACAGGCTCATTAAAAACATGCACAAACTTGGACCAATGAATGAGGCGGGGAGAAGAGCAATGAACACCTCAAAAACAGAAGGATAGTTATACAGGTTGCTAGGATAATAAAGAATAGAAGTTTATTATGTTTCAGCTCATGTTTTCATGCCTTTATTACCCCTCCCGAGAAGACTTGCTGTATGTCCATAGATATTTAAAAATAGAGATAAATAAATTTTGTCCTTCTGGGCTTCCCTCGTTGCAGACCAAGCCACACATAATTACAAAATGTCACTTTTTGTTTATACTGGCAGATTCTGAATGTACCCACTGCTATTCCTGGCCGGAAGGCATTTCTGAAGGATTCTGCTGTTGCAGACATTGTAGAAGATGCCTTTTGGGTTTAAACTTGATTTTTTTACTCTTGACATTTTTCCTCACTTATTTCTGTACCATGGCATGTTTAATACTTTAAATATCTGTAAGATGGAGTGACTGGATACTTCTTTAGCTTCACACAGTGAAGACCTTCCATCTGGGGAATAATGATGCAAACTTGTATGCCTCCTAACATCCAGGACACAGTGAGAGTCCTCTGTGAAGGGACTGGGAACTGAAAGCATTACGCAGCTCTTGGGGGTGTATTTCAGAAAGAACATGTCAATTTTTAAACTCAGGCGTCATTGCAAAGTGATTATAAGGAAACAGAACTCATGCTTATGTTCAAAAGACATCAGTAGCACAGTGCATCTGTGAATTCCTGTTCAAGTTCCACATGATTTTGGTTTCCCCAGCCCTGATCTGCTTGGCAGTGTGGTACCATTACACTCCAGTCTTCATGTCAAACTCGTGATGATTTTGTGTTTCATTCACAGTCAGGAATTCATCACATGCTTGTGTTCGGTCATTTGACTTTTCTTTATGAACCAAGTGCACCATTTCTTGTGATTTGCTGATATCTCCATTTAATTCACTTGTCTTCCTGTCCTCCACTGCCCCTTTGCCATTGTTAATCACTAGCTTTTTCTTCTGCCCACATCTAGAAAGACATAAAAAAAAAAAAAATTATAAACAGAGTCTAAAAAAAAAAAGCCCAAAACCTGAAGGTCAATATTTAGGAAAAGGTGACTGGAAATCAAACTTGTGTCTGCACATAAAGTTTCTCCATATTGCATATTTAATTTTTGAAAGCATCCACTACTATATGCATAAAATTTATCCAGTGCAGACTTATATCATACAACACATAAAGTTTCTCCATATTGCAATATTTAATTTTTGAAAGCATCCACTACTATATGCATAAAATTTATCAGGAGCTCACTCATCTAATTTATATTTATTGTTACTACATATAGCAATAACATTCATTACTGATGGCTAGAAATTTTTTTCTACCATTTGAATTTATCCACATTTATGAACCTTGTAAATAGCCCCACTATGAGGACACCTTCAAAATCCAGGCTTGGGACCACAGCTTTGAAAATGCACAAATTCTTAAGCAAGCAGAAAATCTGGATCAAGCTCTCACCTCATTAAACAAGACAACTATTTTAGCATGTCAAGCTTAGAAGCCAAACAACAGTAAGGAAATATGGAGAACTATTCTTGCTGCCATCTGCAGCAGAACTCCTTGGGATGTTCAGGAAGAAAAAAAGAAAGAAAGAGGTACTGTGCTTTTAAAGTTACACTCACTGCAGGGCTGCCCAATAAAACTTATATGTAGCTCTGAATTAAAACACATGCACACACACAATCTTTTAAAGAGTCACCAGTCCAAAGCTGATGCACACTGGATATCAAGGGCTGGGTATCCTTCAGTGTAGTAAAAAAGCACTACTTACACAGCTGTCAGATTTACTGTTTAGATGACTGCCTGGCTACACAGTGCTGGACATCCTGCTTGTCCTCAAACAGCCTTGTGTAAAGTGAATATGCAGAGCCCAGCATGCCTAAGAGGGACAATGTGAAGTTGGACTTTGAAGTCCTTTCTTCTTAAATGAAGCATATTTATTCCTGAAGGACTGATTTGGCTGTTCAATTTTACTAATATGCTTTTAAATTGGAATTTTTTTCATGCCTACTGACTCATAGATGAGGGTTATTTTATCTGAAGTAGCTCAGTTCACTCTGCTAATGCTACACACACCCTTGGGAATGATTTCCTGCTCTGCAGCCATAAAATGCCAGAAGACGCCAGCAAGGAGCTGTGGAGCTCCAAAGCCTCTTTAAAGAGCAGCTCAGAGTGCTCTGCAACCAACAGACTAGGAAAAAATGTGCTCACTGCTTCCTGCACAAAAATCTCCACATATTATATGGTCATTCTCAAGAAAAAGGAGTTAAAATCCAACACTCAAGTAGCAAATAGTTACTCTGTTAAAAAGCTCGATTTTAACATTGAAGTAGGAAAAAGCTGTTGAAGACAATTGGGAAGTAACCTCAGAACAGGCCCCAGAGAAAAGAAAGAGGTAAGTATATTATAGCCCATCCTTTAGGCTAGGGTTTTTTCAATTTCCCAGCTAACTTTGCACAGATCACTGCATTACTGTTCACTCCTCAGCCTCCTCATCTGTAAAATGGAGTACATAAAGCTACTGAGAGCTCTGAGAACAACGTTAGCATATAAGTCACTTGTGACTGCCAGCTGTGATACTGGCTCTTGTTCAGAAGAAACAAGAGCAGGTTTTCACAGAATCGCTGCGATTGTCTGAGACAGCCCTTCACACTGCACACAGACAATGCTTTAGTGGGGAAGGATTATTCCTGGCTCATCCTGTGGTTGTCACTCTCTGTGTTCATCTCACAGCTTCCACTCTCTGTGAACACCCAGAGATTTTCCCATTAATAACTAATAGACAGAGGGTAATCAATTTTCTGTATACAGTTAGTTTCCATTTGACAGACTAAACAGTTCAAGTAGCTGCTGACTTCATGTAAGCAGTTCCAGGTGAGTGTGAAGGCTGATGTGTGACCTGTGCAGGACATGGTGTCCTGGGTCCCCACACTACAAGCCACAGGGCTTTGCAGAGGATGCTCTTTCCTGTGCTTTGCTACTCCGCTCTTTGAGAAAGCTTTGGAGACTCTCAAGGAAGAGAAAAGTAAGGCAGTGTGTTTTGGAAAGGTGAAGGGGTGGCCTTACCGCCTGCGACTGTTGACAGCAATGCACACTGCCAGGATCAGTGCAAGCACCACGAGAGCAGCCACGATGATCAGCCAGTCTGTAGGGACAGAAGAGGGAGGGCAAGAGCGTGTGAATTCATCTCATGTGGTTTTGCCATTTCACAGAACTGCAGAAACACCATCTCTTCTACTTCCTATAACCCATCACACTCTTTTCCTAGCTTCCATGAATGTTTGTTTGGTGTACAAAGTCTTTCAGTGCAAACCAAACACATTTTCATCATTCAGCTATACACAGGCTAGCTCAGATTAAATGCCCCATCACTGTTGTCACCTGCAAGCACTTTGGTGAGCATAGGTGAAGAACTGTGTCACGGATTTACTCCAGTGGCAAAAGAAAAGGTTTAGCGTGACACGCCTACAATCTCAGGCACAGAAGCAGCATGAGTTTTAGCACATTTTTAGTAAAGCAGGTTTCACAATCTTCCCAGCAGCCTACTCTCTACTACCATTATAGCTCTGTCACCATTACAGATGGGGGTCCTCTCCCAAGAGCTATGTCCTGTATTTTCTTTGTTTGAAACAACTGTTCCTTATTTAACAAGACTCATACATTTAATTTGCAACAAACTACCTGTTCTAATTAGTTAATTATTAGTACTCCATGGTGAAAAACTGATAGGCATTCTTTTAATAGTATGCTCTTATATCTCCCTTCAGTTTTCCCTGCAAATGATGAGTTCTTCTAAAGGTGCGTCAGAGGCTACCTTCCCAAAATTTTCTGTGTGCTCTTCTCCACTTTTTTTCCCATGTGACTAATGCAACACCTTGAACTGAACACAGAGTTTCAGCTCTGGCCTTGCTAGGCCTAAGTACAGTGGGACAATTACTTTCTCTGTTTTAAAAATGACTTTACCACTAGTAAGTCCCAGAATATATTTGCATTCTTTTGCAGCTGTATCATGGTGTTGGCTTCTTTTTATTCTGTTTTAGTCTGCACGCTCTCTTCTGGAGAGCTTGTCTCAGCTGTTATTTTCTCTGAATATTCTCATGGATATGATACTATGTATATAACTTTACCAAGTGTTGCTTGATTTAATTTCAGTTTATAAAAGTTAATTGAATCTTAATCCCATTCCCCAAATGCATGGTTTCTCTCATCTTAATATTGCTGAAAAATTATATGAGTTACAATATGCTCCATCTTTCAGACTACTTTTGAAATGCTGAATATTATCTGATTCAGAACAAAGGCTGAACAACTGCATTTGACCTTCATTTTCATCTCTTACTTCAGTTCATATGAAGAGAATTCTGTCCTTGGATTTTTAAAATATTTGACTTCAAAAACCCACCTGGTACACGGGCCGACCTTGGTTGTGAATCTATTTTTGTTGTGGCAGTCTCTCCAGGGGAAGTCGTGGATTCAAAATGTCCCTTGTGTGGTCCTTGGTTACCATATACACTAGAGGTAGAGCCTAAAGAACAAAAAACCCCATCCATTAGGCCAAATATCCTTGATGGATATTTAACGGCAACGTAGGAAGACTGCAACTTAAACAATGTAAAAATCATACTATGGAAATTCCATGCTGAAGCAAATAATGAGTGTTTATACTGAAAACTATCACATAGACTGTAAGTATGACACTCATCTGAACTATGGCTAGCTTTAGTATTTCGAGAAGCAAAACTCATGGCTTTCCCCTCTTGTCTCCCTCATATATTTCAATTCTATTCTGACGCAGGATAAAACTGAACATCTACAACTCTAATGCTGTCATAAAATTGAACAATAGTTCTCTGAATGCTTGTGACTTTGGCAGCTAGAGTGGCACTCTAAAAATTAAAAGTATTCTCTTCCTAAAAAAAACGTGTTCTAAGTTTCCTAAGAAAAAAGTGTTCTCTGCAAACTTAGATGTAGATCCTCTTGTCCTTTTTAATAAGTTGTGTAATTTGGTTCCAAGATGGTATTAGATGGTATTAGATCTCTTCTATTTTCTAAGCTGGCTATACTGCTTAAACTTTTAGGCAATTACATTCCTTGCCCATGCTATTACTGTAAGGGTATCCCAAGTCTAAAATTATAAGCAGACTATAGATACAGTAATTTCATTTGGGACTGCTGCTTCATTATCACTACAAAAAATATATTACAGATCTCCACCTCTGTGAATTCTTTCAGACGCTAAGAAATTAAACACTAACTCTGATCAGCTGTAAAGTTCTTTTTCTTTAACACGCATTACAACTAATTTCTGTCCAGTATTTCTGATCTCATTTCCTAGTAACAGCTGGCAAATGCAAAACTGAGAAGCATGTTTTATTCCCTCTGTGAAGCATAGCCAGCAAGCAGCTCATGAATTTTCCAGATGTTTTTATTATTTTTATTAACAAGAAACTTATTGACTGGCGTGTTGTTTGGTGCTATCACACAACAACGGACAGAAGACAAATTCAGCAATGAAGAGTCTTGATCCAGCAGCAAAGAAAGCTGACCAAGACAGACCTACTAACTTGTCTACACTATGTCTCAGCAGATTTTTGAGCTTTTCCTCCACAAAACACCTTAGAAAAGCATTCAGACATTTATTAAAATTTGTGTGCTTAGAAACCTGCTACATTTGATTCTCCCCTGAGCACTGAGAAGAAGCAGCAAGGGTCAGCCACGTTCCCTGCAGTTCTGGCTCTGGGAAGGTGCTTGCAAATGGTAGGGAGGGAACCTCAAAAGCCCTCCACATTTCATTTTGGTAACACACCAAATTTTTTTTTTTATAGACAGTTATTTTTTGTGTCCCTTCAGTGGACTGACATGATTCTGTGGACACTTGGACACTTAGTGTGGTCTGACCACAGCTTAAACATTGCTATAGAAAAAAAAAGCAAGTGGAAAAAAAGTGCTACAGTGCATCAAACCATTCATTTGATCAGAGAAGGCCTTTAACAATACATTCATGAATCTTTTCCATTCCATTTCACCTATACTGGGCAACATTACAAATGAATGAACCCTTCAATAAGCTTTTTGATGACAATGGTATTGGTCTTAGTAATTCCCATAGACTGTGTTCTTAAAACACACCAAGGTAAATGAAAAGAGTAAGAGTTTTGAGAAAATGGCCTTCTGAGCCTTTTGCCAGGGTACTGACAATATTCCCACTGAGAAAGATATTCCTGCTGGAAAAGATTCAAACCAGTTCTTACAGGTTTTATGTGCTCAAAACAGAAAGGTAGCAAACATTTTTTCATAGTGTATGTCTGCACATAAAATTAAGAAGGCAGTTTAAATTAATTAAGTGAATAGGGCCTGTGAAATGAAAGAAATGAGTTTTAGTAGGAAGACATTATTTAAAACAGATTTATCTTTCCAATAAAATTCTGACAAATACATATTTTGCATTTACAATGCTATGCCTATGTCAAAATAGTACAACCAGGCCATTTTGCTGGAGTTTAATTTACTAGTCTATACAAAATTCTTGAAAAATAATTAGCCCAAGCTATACCTCACAATATATTAATTAATATTAATGAATTATTAAAAGAATTAGCTTTCAAGTTGTTTTTTTTTTTTTTAATAATGCTGTAAAAATATAGGTACATAATCTTGTTTATACACAATGAATGTCCACAGAGCATTGGCAAAATTCTGCTCTGGAATGGTTCCACTAACTTCCAAGAAAGTGCATGAAAACATGGATTAGCTGAATTGGGAAAAAAACCCTTACTGTTAGCATGGTTACTTGCATGGAAACTACATTTGGGAATAAGGAAAAGTCCCTTCATTTCCCATATTATTAGCATGTGACCACACATTAAAAAAAAAAACCCCGAAGGCTGTATGTAGTATAATAGGCAAACACTGTTAACTGCACTAACTTCATCAGAAGAATAACCCTTTGAAAAACAAGGCTGTTCACAAATGAAATGTCAGTTACAGCCCAGTAACACCTACAATTAATCACTGGAAAGATTCCAACAGCACATATAGCTAGGGAAAAAATGGTGCCAGAGAATTACCTTTCGAACCTATTCAGCTACTTTAGAAGGGTACAAATGGGGGGAAAGTGACAGATAGTTAAGGGTTACATAGCTGTCACTTGTGCCCAGCAAAAAAAGAAAGAAAAAATGCTATCACAAATGTATGGGCATGAGCAGAAAGTTTGCACTTCTTCATTTCAATAGTTGTGTTACCACATGCTGATAATGGAATAAAAGAAAAGCTTATTTGCAAAACACTATTTTCAGCCTTCAGCTAATGATTTTACTAGAAAGTGATATTATTCATGACATCTTATCAGCAGGTTAAAACCAATAACAAAACCCAAAAAGGAAATCATAATATGACAACTATTTACAATTATGCTTGATAAACATTTTTGGACAATAGCCATTGTAACCACTTACTGATGGATAAATGAAAATGGTTATAATTCATTGTTCTTACTGGTAGTAAGAGGAGTCTGCAAGGGAATAAAACGGTCCTCAATGTCAGAAAAAACTCCAGGTATCCCATGGACATGGAAACCATCTGTGGTGTTTGCTGGTTCTCCTTCCCTTCCAGGGGCAGTGCCAGATGTCAGTGGCTCCTTGGTTGCTTTCTCTTGGTCAGCATCATCCACGGACTCTATGACTGCCATAATGGTGGCATGACCAGGAGCACTCACAAAAACCACCACCCACATCATTTCCTGGGCTACAGCAAGCCAGAAAGCACCTTCACCTTCCTCATGCAAAGCACAGAAGGAGGGGAGAAGACATGAAGGCCTCTCCTTCTTCTTCCACACTGTCACTGGCTTCTGAGAGACCCTTAAGCTCCACATCTATGCTCAGCGTGTTGGAGCAAGATGCTGACGACATATACAGATCCCAGTGACAGATGGAAAGGGGAGACCTTTAGAAGAAGAGACTTTAGCAGCAACAACCTGACCCTGTAACTCAGGAGTGAGCAGCCTCACCTCTGTCAGTCTTGCCTGGCAATACACACGGGAAGAAAAGTAAGAAACTGATGGCAGAATTTAAGGGATGTAATTCTTCTATGAACACACTGCCCTCACCACTGGGACACCACTGCCCAGTGATGGTGCTGCTGCTGAGTTTCAGGACCAAGTCATCTGATTAACCTGCCAGAGCACCTCCACCACAGCAGCCATGGTGCCAAAGCATATCCAGTCTGATCCCACTGATGCACAAGAAAGGAAGACGAGGCTGGGGATTCAGAATCACCAAAGTGCATGTTTCACAGAACATTTGGGAGATCACCCAAGAACATGCTTCAGCAAAGGTCAGAAACCACCAAGTGCACCAGCAAAGAGTCCCTTATGCCTTGTTCACAGATCCCACGACAGATTTTTCACTGCAAGTCCACACTAAGAATGAAGATCCCCAGGATGAGAAAGATAGTGAAAGAAGTAATCTTCAGCAGAGATAATGTCTCATTTCACACCAGACATGAGAAATGAGAATGCTCCATTATTCTTACTGGTACCCATCAGAGAGAGTCATTACCAGCTTTGGTCACACTGGCTGTGGTCCTGTGGAGGACTTCATCTCTGTGCATATCCGTGGGATTTGTGATGCCCTCAGTGCCCTGTCCTGGCTCATCATCCGAAGGCAGAGGTGTTTGAGTTGGCTCTTTGTGGTGGGCACCACCAGGAGAGGAAGCAGCTGTTACCACAAGGTGAGGTGCCCATGCTTCCTGGGTTATATCTTCTGGTGCCAGAATGTCAGTGGAGGCTGTGACTGTTGTGATGATGGCCAAGTTAACTTCAAAAATATTTTAAAAATGCACCTTACATATTTATTTTTAGAAAACTCTACCTTTTTAATTTATTTGCCTACATAGACTATGCAGTGAGAAGAAAAACAAAACAAAACAAAACAAAGCCTCAAGCAAAGAATATCCTCTGCATGTGACACTTTTTTGGCTTGTCTCTTCCTTCACTAATAGTCACAATGCAGCCTAAAATACTGGTCTTGAAAATACCTAGTGAACACTGTTTAGAAGAGAGAAAACAGCAATATTATTTTCAGAATGAGTATAAGAATTCCTGTTGTTACACAGGAATCAGATTAGAATGACTTAATTAATAACATCTGAAAAAAATGCAAGATCATACTTGGGTTTTCATATTTGCAACTGACCTGTCAAACCTCATAAAGCTTGAAAACAGTGAACTGGGAAACTTTACAGAATCTCATTCATATTTAGAAAACATAAGCAGATAATAGAGAACACAAACTTTTTAATCTACAAACTGTATTTATAATCCACACAATTTATATTTTTTATAGCTCTTCATCAAATCCTAAATGTTGAGGATTAAATAATCCAGATAAAAATGGATTTTGAGGAAGAAACTCAAAAGGTTAACAACTAATTTTTCCTCAGAATGTCTTTTTTAGAAAATGGAGGAAGAAAAGATTCAAGAAGTTCCAAACAACTACAGTATGATAAAAGAAAATCTTATTGTATTAAATAAAAATGCAGTGTTTTGAATTAGGATAATTTTAAATGGATAACATGCAGAGTTTGGGAATTTAAGTTAGAGCCTTGCAGAACCATATGAAAAAACTCCAATAAATTATTTCAAATTTTACAGTATTAAGAGAGTATGTTGAAATATTAAGACCAGGAATGACCAGGCATGAAAAACAAGCATTTACACTACCAGCCACCTCCAAAAAGCAACTGCTTTCTCAGTTAAAAATACACCTGAGCAGAGTGACATAAGAAACAGGGCACATAGGAAAAGAATCCTTAAACAGACAGGAATTCTTGTTGGGATATTCACATGCAACAAAATCATAAAAACATTTGCACTGCAATTTCACAACAAGAATGCACACTTCGAAGATGAGAAAGACAAGGAAAGAAGTCAGTTTCAGAAGAAATAATGTCTCATTTCACACCAGACATGAGAAATGAGTTATGCAGTAAAAATCCATTATTTTTACCGCAACTCACGGAGGAGAGTCATTACCAGCTTTGATCATAGTGCCTGTGGTCCTGTGGAGAACTTCGTCCCCAGGGGCATCCGTGGGATTCGTGATGCCTTTAGTGCTCACTTCTGCTTCATAATCCCAAGGCAGAAGTGGTTGAGTTGGCTCTTTGTGGTGGGCACCATCAGGAGAGGCAACAGCTGCTATGATGGTTTAATAACAGATGATTTAAACACAGATTATTTAATAGCTGTGAATTCCATGTGTGTGCTGCTGTGGCCTTCCCATTACCATCCCATCCGAGCTTCCTATTCCCCTTAAAGCACTGTTACACTTTTCTCTCCACAAAAAGGGCAGAGAAGGGAGACCTTGTGTACATCATCACTGCTCTCTCACAGTTCTGGTAAGACATATCCGTATGCTGTTCTTGTCCACTTTTTTTACTTAATTAAAAAGATTCCCAAGGGCAGTGGACCCAGGGAAAGACACAGAGGCAGCAGTCAGAAGGATTCCCTGACCTGCATCCCAGGCTACCTACAGAGTCTCAGCTTCCTTGGCACTGTCACTTGCTCTTACAGTGTGTTTCACGTTACAGGTATCAATACTGAAACACTGACAGTCAAGAAGACATGAAGGCCTCTGCTTCTTTCTCCACACTGTCACTGGCTTCTGACAGACCCTTAAGCTCCACATTTAAGCTCAGCATGTTGGAGAAAGATGTTGGCAAAATATACAGATTCCAGTGGCAGATGGAGGGGACAGACCTCCAGAAGAAGAGATCATACCATGTTTTTAGAACACTATTTGATGTTAAAAATACTGTGTTATATGAGAATGCATCATGATGCTGTGTCATGCCAGTTTTATAGATTCCTGCCTCTCATCATTCTATGAATGAACCAGAGGGATAAATATTTCAATAAAGTCTATGAAAAGAACACTCTTTCTCTAGGTGAATATTCACCTGGAGAATGGATCTTGAGGTACAAATATACATAACTATGGATTCAACTTCATGATAAAGACAGTCTAGCAGCACCAAATAATATAATTTATGTAATGAGCTGAAATCAATTTTACAGCCATGCTTCACTAAGGAATGAAAAGCCCTATAAGGTGTGTTGGCAAGTAAAGAACAAATGTTTTGTATGGAGCTAAAATTGAAATCTTCTGTTTCACCACCATCCAGACAAGGCACAGAGAAAATTAATCACTCTACAATTTATGAGATTCTTTTAAGAGATCAGTAACTTGTAGACTCCTGTCTACAAGTTCACGCAATATCTTTCCAGGAGAGGCCATCTGAGAGACAGAAGTGATGCAACATACATAAGAGACATTATTACTAGTACCTGTAGTGGAAGACTCTCTTTCATGATTGCTCTCTCTGGAAGGAATAACTCTATCCATTACAGCAGGCTGTGTGGCATAATCCTCTCCCTCATCCCAGCCTGGATACACCACTGGGTCTTGCGCTGAGTCATTCTGTTTGGCCCCACGGCTGGGGACCATAGCTGTTATGATGATGGTGAAGCAATTATGAACTCAGTATACAAAGATCCATTTCTCACATTATTCTCCTCTTCAGTTCTTGTCTCTATGACAGGTCTTGCTCACATGCCTACTACATTTAATGGCAAAGAGAAGTAAAGTAGATTTGCTTCTCATCCTGGTTTATACTTAGAAAAGCTGCCTGCTGTCATCAGTAGGACCAAATCCTTCCTCAAACTGATCATATGCTTTTCAGAATCAAGGTGTCTTACTGTTTTTCAAAAGTATTTATCTGAATCTTGCTGTCGATTTTGTAAGATTGACTATTAAACCAAAATTTGCTGATGCAGAAAGAAAAACTTCAGACATAAATAACTGCAAGGATATGACCCATCAGTAAGACTTTAAACACATAATTTGAGTATGTTGACTATATCCAATTTCTTCTCCTCAAGGTTTCTCTGTTTCATTAGTTGCAGCATCTCCAGGAAAACAGACAAAGAGGTGTGGCAAAGGGCAATGCTAGGTCATGGGTCAGATTTGTGAATGGGGCACACAATAAATAAAACAGCATATAGCTGGAGAATATCTGATCTTGTAGTTATTTAGAAAAAGACCATCCATGACAACCAACCTGCTGATTTTATTACACAACCATAGCAAAAGAGTACCCAAATTGTGTGAAAAGCATTAAACCTTCTTAACCCCTTCAACCCAGTAAGGGGGGAGGGGGGGGGAAGCTCAAGAAATTTGCCACAGTGTGTTACAATTTTAATTGCAATTAGGCCATTATGTATTGCTAGAGTAGTGTAGTATAACAGATTATCAGAGACCTGTATTTTATTATCCACAACAGCAGATGATGACTACATTCACTGTTGGCAGTGCTTAGTACAGCATATCTGTCATAAACTCCTAAGTTTGGTACGCTCACAGGAGCAGAAATTAAAATATATCAATTTTGAGTTACCACCTTTACAGTACAATTTGATCTTTTATGCTTCAATTGATTCAACCAATGAACGAGAGATACCTCTCTCTTATTCTACATTATACTTTATTTTCTTCTCTTCATCTTGCTAAAAATGGGATGAGAAGACATTTTAGATATTTTTTTTTAGATAAAACTGTCATTAACAAAAACTGGAAAAAAAAATCCCAGGGCCAAGAGCAGCTTGCAACAGGGGAGTGAACACAGTTGCCAAAGGAGTAAAAAATGCAGCACAGATTATTGTTTTTCCATTTAAGCCTTCTCTGTTTCCTGCAGACAAAACCCTGGCAGACAGCTTGTTGAAAGCTTGTGACTGCATGACACACAACACAAAACGTAGGAGATAGTTAAAGAATTAACCTACTAAAGGTCTTGACATGCAAGACAAATAGAAGAGAAACATTCAGGAAAAGTCTGAAGAATACACTAATTAAAAAAATAATAACATAACATCAAAATTGCTAAGATTTGTTCACAGAACCTGTGTTATGACATCAGAATGCAAAAATGTTAGTAAAACATCCTAAAACTACATCTTTAGAAAACCCTGAAAATTTACTAAAATGTGACCTGCAATATTACCTGTAGAAGTTTCCTTTCCAAAATAATTTTCACCTGCAGTAGTAAATTCATGTTGTTCAATACTGCCAGTGGTATTTGCAGGATTTTGTTCTTGACTGATCCCTCCAGAATGAAGGCTGTGTAATAGTGGATGTTGGGTTGGTCCTTGATGTTTTTCATTTTCACTTGTAACTAGTGCTGGTAGGATTGTGATTGAATCAATAATGATCAAAATACTCAACATCATCATATTTTCCTTATCATTACGGTGTACATAACAAGAGTGCTTGGCTTTTGTGTTTTGTCTTTTTCTTGTTGTTGCATTTCATGTGAAATGAAAGATGAAAGAAAACAGAAGTCCTTTGGAAACCCTATCACACAAAAGCATCACCAAGAGCAGCAGAAGATTCAAGTACACTAGAAAGGATCCCAATGACCAGTGGGAGACAATAGATATCCAAGAACCAGAAGAGCTCATAGAAACAACAGCCTGCATCTCTATTTCACATTTATTGATACAAACTTAATTGTGGAGTTTGTTTGTATTCTGTGTTTTTAAAGTAAAACACTGATGAAACTTTTCTTTTGAGTTATCTCAATTGCATAATTACAAGGCTGGTCCTAAGGAAATTGCAATTTCTTCTGAGATTGGATGAGTTAAATAAGCGGGTTCATATAAGTAGATAAGCATACTTATTTTGGACTCAGTAATAATTAAAGCTCTTACCAATGAAATTAACTCACTGCTTACTCTTTAACTTGCTGTTGTTTACACAGCAGAAGATGCAGTCAGAAATCAGCTGAAGTACCACCACCATAAGAGATGTTCTAAACAAGGTTTGGAAAAGATGCATCAATAAACATAAGATAAGCTAAAGAACTCAGCTGGAAATATATTTGCCTTAAGTATCAAACATTTCCATGAGTGATATATAAAAGGAAAGCTAAGGTCCTTAATCAGAGCATGCAAAGAATGAGCTGGATATGTCATATACGTCATAAGTTACCAGAGAGAGAAACTGTGCTATTTCCCAAGAAGAGAAAAACTGGAGTATTTATCTTCATATTCAGGCAATGAAATATTCGTAAAGACAGCGCTCATGCAAATGTAGCTCATTATTTTTAAATTAAACCGAATACATATACATTGTCTTACAAAAAAAGAGGTAATAATCATCAATGTATGAATAGAACTGATCTAACAATACTTCACTAACACTAAAAGAAAGTTATCACAAAAACTATTTCTGTGTGATTACAGAATCTGTTCTAATGCCAACTGCATAAACTTCTGCTGTTCAAAACAATCTCAGAACCAGAAAGACACAGAAAAATAGCTTGAGAATGCACTCTGTAGCTTCTGCCCACAGAATTGAACATTTTGGTATCTCACCTGGCTACTGGCACTGACACTGGTAGCAAAATGTTCACCTCCAGTTCATCTGGAGATAATATATTATTCTTTGTAGGACAATTTATGTATTGGAAACACTAGCTCCCTTTTTTATCTTTTGTCTTCAGATTTTACAATAGAACTTTTGCAATGGAAAAAGATTTTTTTTTTCTCAACAAAAGTTACAGTCTGCTCTGTATTATTGCAAACTACTGGCAGTGAAAATTTTAAAATACCAGAAATGTCAGGAGAAGTGGCAAGAAATGAACTTTAGATACATAAGATAGACTTGAAATGACAGATGAATGTTATAGATGCCACCTTTGAGGGCTCTAGTACAAATAATGTAAAGGTATTACACTTAACTGATAAACTGAGGCTAACGGTGTGGGAATTACAAACAGCTGCACCTTGAGTGCCAAACTTCACTGAATTATATCAGAAATCTGAGTATTATCTGAAATGCTTGATTGCTTTACCCTTGCTAGCAGAGCTAGGATACTGCTCCTCTTCATCAGTAAAGGTGGGGTTCCAATGGTCTTGTGTGGTGATTTCCAGAAGTGTTTCGTGTTGTGAGTCCACAGCTGTTGGGACAATGGAGGATACAATGCTGACTATGCTCTAAACCTACTGTCCATGCGCGCCATAAACGTGATGGAAAATGGAAGTTCTTGCATAACCTAGCTATAGTATCTTTACTCTTCTTATCAAATCCATTCACATCAAACCAGTTGCTCTTTTCTTTGCAATTGACGGATGCAGTTTCCCAAGAAAAATGGGAAAAACAAGCAGCAGAAGAATAATGCACAGTAGAAGCAATGCAAGTTGTAGAAATTTAGAGCAGTTGCAGAAACTTAAACTCATGTTTCAAGAATAATGCTGGACCTAAGGAATATGGCAGAAATCTCTATACACATAAAACATGCTTGCTAATTACTCAAGAAGCACCATGTTAGAATATCCATGACTGAGCAAAAAAGCAGTGGTCAGCAAAAAAATGAGAGCTCCTTGACAAGCACCAGGAAGCCAATATTAGTCAAGAAAGTAGTAATACAATTAAAAAGATAAAACAGAACTTCTACAAGAGTCTGTGACCAGAAACTGAATACACTTTCACCCGTGGATCATGCAGACACCACTAGGCTGTCAAAGGTATGGAATGCAGTACACCTGTGGCGCAAGTTACCAATGCAGTCTCAAAGATAAATAAACACCAAAACTATCCAAAGCATAGGAAGAAACATAAGAAGTCCCAAAGCAAGATGAATTCCTGATTTTGCATTTTCTACTAAAAATGGAAACTGCCGCTGAAAAATGCAAATACTGCACTACCTTCAAAAAAATAAAAGACTTATGAACAGTGACTGCTGATTAAATAAGAGCAAAGACAACAGACACACTAAGATGTACTTAAATTAAATAAAATTACAGAAATAAAAGAGATTAATATCTTTGTACAAGTAAGAGCATTAGAGTGTAGTCCTTAAGAGCAACATCCATGCTAAAAAACCGCCAGTGCTGGGGACATTCCCTGGTCATAAAGCCAAGTAGCAGTTTCTGTACTTCAGTGATGCCTAGCATTTACCTTGGACCTTTTCTGGTTTTCAGACAAAGTTATTTCATCTATGGATGGCTTTTGAATTAAAAAAAAAGGGTTCTCAAATGATCATCAACAAATGAGATGATGTTAGAAGACTGCATGGGAAGTGTGCAGAAGGTAGCAAATATGAGACTCTTTTGTTGACAGTTCCCAATGAAAAAAGGACTTGGGGTTTGGTCTTTCCAAACAGAGCATCTTCTACAGAAAGGAAGTCTACTATCAAATAGATGAAAGTTACATGTAACATGAACTAGAATTATTTTAACACATAAAATAAACTAATAGAATGAAAGATAAACTTTTTGTCTTGAAAAATCATGAGTAAATACAAACATCTGACTAAACTGAAACTGAATTACTAATTGTAAGTAGTGAAAGAACAGACATTATTTAATCCTAGAGACCTGAGATAATTTTCCAGTCAAAAAGTATTTATGAAGGAAACAGCTGATGAGAAGATCATTCAATTTTCAAGCAACATATGCGTGACAAAGAAGGAGGAGCATCAGGTAGGACGGGAAAATGAAGAAAGTGAAAATCCAAAGATAAGAGAAGAACCTTACTCGTACTTGGAGCAGTCTCGTCCTTGGCCACACTCCTGCCCCAGCCTGGAAACATTGTGGGATACACAATCTCCTCAGAGGAGTCTTCATCGTCTGAATCACTGCCACTGGAGGTCACACCTGCTGTGATGATGTTAAATCTGCCATGAAGCCCTAACCCACAAGGCCTTCTGCTGCTGGCACTTCAGATTTCCTGCCTCTCCTACTCACAGACTCACAATCACAGAGGAGAATTTACAGCCCCGTGCTTCCCAGGGGCCCTAGCTGCTCCTGGCCTTTTCACTCCCAAGGGATTCTCCACTCTGCCATGGCCCTGCTGAAGCTGCCCCTCTAGAGCTCTCAGATTCATTTTGGGACCCTCTGCATGCTCACAGCATATAGCAGGTAGAGCAGAGTACTGGCTTGAAATCCTTTCCTTCCTCTCCCCTCCAAGTCCTTCTCATTGGAACACTCTGCTCCAAAACAGGGAGAAAGAAAGACCCTGGTCCATGCTTTCCATGATGACTCCCAAACTCATCCCTTTCAGACAGGCAGAATGCCTCCATGGCACACAGACAGAGTGGACAACTGCTCTATTGCTACCATGTGTAAAATAAGGGAGCCTGGGACTTTGCTTTTCCTGCTTCAAGGACGGTGCCATGAACAGCAGTGAGAAATGCCATACATTCATCCCCCGTTCCATTTAGAGTTTGTGCACCTTGCTGCCCTGCTCTCTGGTAATTCAGCCCCCAACCAAAGCAGACTCTCAGCATGGCATTCTTTACCCCTGGTTGTTGGCGTGGGCTCTTGCATCTTCTCTCCAGGATTTGACCACCACCAGTGGTCTGAGAACGGATTCCACCACGCTTCAGTGGTGGTTTTCTCCAGGATGTCATGATGAGGCCCTGGAGCTGTTAGGACATGGCTCATTTAACCAAGATCTTGTGATTACTTCTTGAGAAACAACTTCTCCTCCAGCAAAGTCCAGTCCACCAGCACCAGCACCTTGAGCAGGCTCATGCCCAGAGATGGGTGTGAGAGCAGGGTGAATGTATGAACCCGTGGTGTCATTACATTCCTCCAATGCCTAGCCAGATGCAAGCACTTTTGGCAGTCCCAGGAAAGAACATGCTCCCTCGAGAGCAGCCACCAAAAAGCCCTGTGGGACTTTTCACCCCTCCACGTTCCCTAAGGTTAGTGAGTGCCTCAAAAGCTCAGACAGCAGGAGAGAACAGATAGTCTTTGAAAGAGAGCCCAGAATGATGAACTTCCACCGAGATTACATAAAATCCCATACAAAAGAAGTATCCATGATAGGTAAAAGGGATACCCAGAGAGAAGCACAACCAGGGAAGCAAACTTGTCTTCCACTGACAAACCATGAAGCCAACGCTGCCAAGGACTTGAGCTCAGAAGAGAGGCCATTCCTCTCAGAAGACACATGCACGAACTTCCACCAAGATGACAAAAAATCAAAAGATATTAGAAGTATCTGCAAAGCCAGTGCTGCCAAGAACTTGAGGTCAGAACTGAGGCCATTCAAAAGGCACATGCACTCCCCTTATCCTGATGCTGGCTGCTAATTTTATACCAGAACCACTATCCAGGCAGGCATTAGCATGTCACAGGGAGAGAGGCCCTGCTTTACTCCTTTCACATTACCAATTCACAACATTTCCTTACAACACAGCATATCAGACATTAAGTTCTACAGGTTTCTGGTAGATATTTCTGAATGGAAAGACATTTCTGCTTTGAAAAATTACAGTATTCTACAGTCTTTTCTTCCACGATGCATTCAAATAAATATAGGTATGCAAATAGTTATAAATGTGTCTATCATATATGGATGACAAAAAATCAGTCTGAGTTACTGTTTTTCTAGGTAGCTCATTAATCAATAAAGAGTTTTACATCTGATTCATGGCACACCTAGAGGTTAATCATAATTTGCTAATAACAAAGAGTGAAACCTGCTTGGGCATGGAGAGAAGTCAGTGGTAAAGTGATGATGTTGTATTAATCTGGCCCATTAACTTGATGGAGCACACCACCAGTGATGTCCAAATCCAGCGAAATAATTAATTCTGTATCATCTGAAGAACAAGGACCTGTACAAATTGCTCACTTCAATCCATAGCACAGAATTCTTTAGATTAAGCTATATTCTAAAAAACTTTAACTTTACAAATTAATTGTAGTATAGTGGAGAGCCACCAATTTTGTTTCTCACTTTAACACACTACAGAAGTAGATAGATAGATAGATAGATAGATAGATAGATAGATAGATAGATAGACAGATTGATTTTCAGCCATCTATCTGAAGATATATGACAAATACTTTTCTTTACTTTTTTCTTAATTTTCTACTTCCCCGTCTGTGGGATTTTTCTCTGGGAAATTAAATTGTGGCCAGGATATTCCACTGAGTCTGCACTGCTATACAAACTAAGTAACAGATATTGGGACATGGCTTTATTCCTTCTATTTTGGACTGCTATCCATGTCACTTTCTGTGCTACTGAACATTTAATGACTTCTCAGAGAGATGCCCAGGTTATACTATATGCCTTTCTAAAAGAAGTGCTAGGTTACTGATTCATCTATAATGCAGTAAAATTAAACTAAATGAGTCAAATACTTCTGTGTTAAAGTGATATTGCTGGGTAACAGCCAAAGCTATCAGAAAAGCCCAGGAGCATTACTTTCATTATCTTTTTTTTTTCTTTTTTTTTTTCTCCAGAGAACCAGTTTATCAATCCTAACCCTGTAAACAAACATGCCAATGTTATCACTTCTATGATACACATTTATCAGTATTGACACATTTTATCACTTTGCCCTATAGTCTCTTTGATCTTTTCAGATCTTAAATATCTCCAGTTTTCCCTCTGTAAAACACTCTTGTCCATGAGAGAGAACTGCTAGCAAGAGGAAGGGACATACATATTTAGGACCAATACATTTGATAATCAAGTATTAAAATGAAAACAGAAAGCTTTCCTGTACAGAAACAATGCACAGGTTTTTGCAGTGGGTACAGAAACACCAGCACAAGGAAACATTAAGTCACATGTGCACACAAAAGCAAACATATAGGAAGGAAAAATCACCACCAGAGTCACCAAACTCCCCACTACTCTGAAATCTCCACCCCTTACAGGCAACATTTTGTAACAAAAGCTTTCACTGGAAACAAGTACCAGAAAATTCTCTACTTTTTTTCAAGGTTGGGGGTAAAATCAACCTAATATTTCTTTTTCTATCTATATACTTAGATAGAAAAAGAAATATATACTTATAAGGTGCTGCTAATCTTCACGTCTTCTGAGAAAAGATGCTCAGGTTTATTAATTTATGTCTTTTAGCAAAGTTTTTGCCAACTGTAATGCATACAATCATCCTTCCTCTAAATACAGTGATGAAGGCACCATTTCTCCAAGTCACTCAGACCAACTATCAGCAACCAACAGACAACCAAGCAACATGGATTCCCCTCATGGGGAAACAAAAAGGAAAAGAGCCAGTGAGAAGAAACTTTCATTTCTATCAGCTTGATCTTTACTACAACATGCCTCTGTAGATTTCCTCTGTATAATTAAAATGTTCTCCCTTTAGGTTCACTTTATTTTCTGAGGTAAAGATCTTTATCACTCTAGCCATAAGAACTAGTGTGAACATATGTACATTATTTCCACTTTAAAATGTGGAAGAAGACTTCAAAAGCTTTTTATTTATTGCAGCTGCTGTGCACTACATATTTGATAAAAACATCACAAGCAGTTTTTCCAACTCAGTAAAGCTATTTAAGGACAAAGAAGAGAAAATGGCTACTGTTCTTTTGGGTCCTCAAAGACTCTGGAGCCACAACAGCCCACAGTTTTTTCTTATGCCAACAGCAAGGATGAAATTTGTTTTTGCAGTGCACAAACGGCTTGGTAGCTGGAGCTACCATATAAAAGAACTGCCTTGGCTAGCAGAGCCAAAGTTTTGACACAGATTATCTACATTCACAACCACAAATGTATTAGAATAACTGCACAAATATACAAAAATATCCTTTTTTACCTCAGAAATAAATTGACTTCAAGTGATAATAGGTTGTATTAATTTGTGATTGCTCATAAAGTGATAAACCAGCTGTGGGAAACCTGAACCAGCAATCTTTCTGAGCTCAGGTACAAGCATTAAAGCAAACAAACTGTAAATTATTTTGCTCCTCTTGTCTTAGAGAGTGAAGTTCATTTCCCCCTTAAGCAGCCTAGAAAGTAATCTATTTCAATGTCTTTCCAATTTTTGAAGTGTTGTATACTTCACCACTTACCAGAATGCCTTTCTGGAAGAAGAAAGCAGATTTAATGTGATCAATGTGTAATGTAGTTATTATGAAACATAAATCTTACTAGTACTTGCAGGATACTGTCCGTCATCTTCTTCATGGAAATCACCAGCCACCGTCGCGAAAGAGATGTCAGGTGATACAGATGTAAATTCATCATCTGCATGGTGATGGATAAATCATTACTATTTCATGAGCTCAGCTGCAATACAGTACTCACAAGTACCTCAACTATTCTACCCTGCAAGCTTCATTCCTTCATTTATTGGTCCAAGAGAGGAGAAAGATGCAGACCCCACATAAGCTTATCTCACTAACACAGTGTATCACCCAAACAGATCATTTGAAGAAGAGAATATATTACAGTGACAATGAATATTTTGGCAATTATCTGTTTATGTGATACAAGCTCTCATTGTACCTGTACATGGTGAGGACAGGGATTCTAGAGCAATGAGTGAAGCTATTCCCTTCTGCTGAGATATGTTCTGAGGTTTAGCCCAAAAATCTAGACTATGCATGCAAGCAGACATAGTAACAGTTGTAACAGCAACCAACAGAAACACACAGCACACACCTTGGGGAATGTGGGGAATGTTTCTCATCCCAGTTTCTTAGTAAAACAGTCTTAGGCTTTACCTTTCATGGTACTAGCTACATGTCAAAACAAGCATAACATGCCATGAGTAACCACCAGTGAAAATTAATTTTATAATCCTGATGCTCTTGCTTTTTTTTTTTCGTTAATTTCAGTATGTATTGAGGATAGTGATGTAAAATACTGGTATTCTTCAATGGTAATCTATTGGTGATTTGAAAAAAAGCCTGTAGTCACACAGTAAGCTTTACTGTACTCAGAGGATGACTTATATCTGTATCCCTAATGTTCAGTGGGAGCACATCTTTCAGACTTCTGATAATTTCAGTCATACAAGCAACCGAAAAGATTAAATAAAATTAGTAGAAAAGAACATGTCATTTGTATTTGGCAGGGTCCCATGAAATTAGTGTCAACCTACTGTCCTTACCATAGTCTTTTCCAGGAATTCCTTTTTCACCTCCTCCAGAAGAATGATCTGGCAGCTGTGAGACTGGAGTAGGACTTCCATAATACAAGGGGCTGGACCTGCTGATGGAGGCATCCATGGGAGTTGTCTCATGAGTTGATCCACTGCCTGCATTTTCATCATCCACCCCTGAGGTGGAGGACTCTCCACCGGTGTGACGTGTGCCGTCCGCGTTGTAACGGGAGCCGTCTGCGTTGTCAATGACTGCGGAAACGGAGTTAAACGGAATTAATGCCAAGGAGCCACACAGCTACAAGAAAGACTAATGCCTATGGATTCATACCAGTTCACCCGTTTTTGCCCTCCTATCTAACCTAGGTAATACATCACTAAAATATGTCTAACGCATATATGCTAATTTATATTTTTTTTGCATTTGTAGGGCCTGACTTGCATCACTTATTTTTATCAAATGGCTTGATTTTAACATAATGTCTTGGCATTTGTAAAGTCAATCAGCATTTAGAGTTGGAAGAAATAATTTATTATGAGCCTTTTTTCAGCTTCCAGCAGCTCAAATCAGATGTATGAAGGTTGCAGTCTTAAGCAAATTCTTTATGTCAAAGGGATGTTAGCAGCCCTGAGGTGCCAAAAACATCAAACACCTATAGAAAAAATGTTTCATGTACCCTGAAATAAACCAAACTCCATAGGCTTTAGGAGAAGACAAGTGGCTAGTTGCTTTAATTTCTACTGAACATCTCTTAACTTCTTTTTCTTATGTTTGGCTTGGCTTTTTTAATATTATTGATTGTTTATGTAAAAATAAGATAACAAGTTACTTAAAAGAGCAAGTGCATGTCTTTGTAATCAGTACAGTACCTGTTTCATCCTGATTACTGAGTAAGGAAGTATCTATTTTTACAACTGGCTCACATGTTTTTTCCTCTGTTTCTGTGAAAGAAGGAAAATAAAAAGTATTAATTTGAAAAAAATGGATTAAAAAATCACGTGTATGCCTGCATCAATTGTACATAATGACAAAACCTCAGCTTCAGATAAGGAGGACGGAAAGCAAATTCCCAAACAAATGTTATTCACTGATGTACCACCTTCCCAGATGGGGCACTTCAAGATTGTTCCGTCAGCTAACGACGAGATGCCCCATTTCCATAAGCATTCCAGAGCACGTCAGCAATCAGTGCCAGCTAAAACAGCCTTAAGACACAGTTTCAAGGCAGTCAGACCCACTGCCATTGTGGCAGTGGCAACTCTAATCTTTTTTACCTGGCAAGACTCCATCCCCTCCACGGAGGGCTTGGCAGAGGCAGCGATGCCCTGCTCTGGTGAGCACCGCTGGCTCCTGTGGGTGAAGTGCCCCACTTGGGGCTGGTGTGCAAGCTACCTCCTCATACTGCTGGTAGGGAATAATCCCTGGGAGGAGTTATAAAGATCTGGAGGAGATGGACAGCACCATTGTAGTCATCTGGGAGAGACAGACAATGGCAACTCACATGATACTATGCCAACGCAGAGATTTTTAATTATATCACTACCAAGAACAAAATTAAAAAAAATCACTGCATTCAAATGATCGATGAACTTTTCTGCAGCTTTCTGTAAGAAATCTCTACTTCCACTATGAATGTCACAATCTACTGAAATTCAAGATCCTTGAAGTTAGTTTAGGTTTTATTTTCAAACAGTGTGTTCAGCATCTGTCACAGACTATATACACTTTCCTAATAATTCGCTACAATATCTCCAACTATTAAAAAGTTCAAAAGCTTAGATGAAAACAGTCTGCTGCTGACACACGTTGCTGTCCAGCTGCCTCATGTCTCAATGGATATTTGCCTGAGCAAATACAGAATGAATCTGCAAACAGGAGAGAAGCAGCCGCGTCCATGGGTCTGGGATAGCCATCGCAGGCCTTGGAGCTGCTGCAGGTGGCAGCCACTCCCAAAACACAAAAAACTGCTCTTGGCTGTAAAGCTCATGTCTGCATGAACAGAAGACCTGAGTGCCAGGGCTGACAACAGTTATGTCTGTCACATTCACTGCTGCAGGGGTTCACTTCACTAAGACATTATAATGAACTGTTCTGAAGCTGCAAAGTTTGTCGCAAGGCCAGAAAAGTGATTTAGCTCCAAACACACTGATAACAAAATGGTCATTGCTGACATGACAGATACACTTCCAGAGGCTGACAAAATGTATTTCTTCTCAGCTGAAAACCAGGCTACATATATTATATAAGCCCTCATCCCAGCACCTCAAATAGGAGATTACATATGTTAATTTTAGTTAATCTGTTTCTAAAATGCAGCATAAAATCATCTCCTTACCTGTCGCATTGTAACAGTATGCATCATACCGGGCAGTTGTGTTTGCTGAGAGTTTGTAAATGCCAGTGTTATTTGCTGCACAAAGATGATAGGGATTGATCCGGGGGATAACAATATGCCCCACCACGAAACCATACCTGTGAAGAACAGAGGCAAATAAACCATATTACGTACTACAGCAGATATCACCTCAAACATTAAGAAGCTACAAAGAAGCCATTATTTTTTAAAAATGCATGCATTTATTCATACTGTTTTGTTGCTTTTTTTGCTGCTTTTTCATTTGAGTGTTCCTTTCTCACATGCAGCTACATCAGTCTCCCATCACTCAACATAACTTTGTGTTTAATTTCTAGAACTAAAGCCATCTAAATTAAATATGCATCTTATTAGCTAGCTAGAGTGATCAGTTCCAGAGCAAGGGAATGAAAGTAAGGGCGGCGAGTGCACTTTTTGTTCAGTGTGAGTTTGTATTACTTGACACTAAATTCCCATTCCTTAGGAATTCATATTTTCATTGCTTTGACATAATACACCAAAACATTTCACAAAGAAATGTTGAGGGCTCAATTTACGGTACCTGAGCAAGTTTAAAGAATGATTGCAATACACACAATTTTCTGCAAAAACTGACAGCCTAGTAAAATATTCAAATATAAGAATCATTCATCCACAAATTCTTCCTGTATCTTTCAGTTGAACAGTGTGATTATTGTGCACACAGCTCACATAATTCAGTGAAGACTGTGATTACATACAATACATTATTACTGTTTGGCAATCCTGTAACACCTGATTGATTCCAATGTATTTAACTGGAGATATGATAGAATGGTAACAAGAACTGGCGTTTGGTTTGGGTTTTACTTTACTTCTTGAGAGGAATGATTTATCAGGGAGGAGTAAATGTCACAGCTTTGCAGTTTTTTATCTAGGAACATCATTCGTGTTTCATGTCTAATTTGCAGATACTTGCAATTCTGAAACTCTTGTAGGTGGAATTATAAATTACTCTACTCACACTCCCAACTAAGCTTACAATGCTGACACTTTACAAACAATTACTGACCTACTTGTGTTGTGTTCTGTTGATTAATCTTATTCACTTACTGTTGGATGGTTATATGCAGCGTATTTTCCCTCTCCTACTCACGTTTAGTAAGAGCTAAAGCTTATTGACAAGGACTACTTCCAGCACAGGATCAACAAATGAAAGCAATAGTGTGGGAGAGTTGGCCAGAAGGAAGGGAGGAAGAAATTCTATCTACATGTCTTACATGTCCAAATCTGCCCTCTGGTAAATTGTGAATTAGGGAATTGTAACACTAATTAAAAATTACAGCTTGCCCTGGGAAAAAAAAAAATAAAAAAATCCTTCTTCTTCTTTCAAATGCCTTCATATTTTAGCTTTGGAAAATACTTTCCATAGTTTAGCATACTCATAATTGCTTGCATAGAAATCTCTACTCCTATGCATTATTTAGGATTTGATCTCTAAATATTGTGTAGTGCTGGGCAATTCAGAATGCTGTGTCTGTTCATGTGCTAATGTCAGAAAAAGAACAAGCCTACTGCGTTATGAAGGACCCTCCCCTCAGAGGAAAGAACTGTTTCTAGTCTTTACATGGTACAATTCTAAATTACATTTCCACTTCTGATGGAAGAATCCTCTAAGAATTCTCTGTTCACATATTCCACCACCACAGTACTTGTGAAATGAACATGCAGGAACAGGAAATAGTTGCAAGCAGTATTGATGTCAGTACTATTTCTCATGGTACCAGAGTGAAAGCCTTGAAATTTTAGAGAAATGTCCACTGAATTTTTCTGTGCCAGTCAGAAGATAAATTCCATTTCTCCATGTTTGCTGTTTAAGTTAGACTGCAATAAAGTTGAAAATCTGCTGACATTTGTTTAAACTCCATAGTGGTGTGCCACCATGGAGCTCCTGGGCTGCCATGATCGTGCAGTGGTGGAGTCTGTAGTCCTGAGAGAAATGGGCGAGGAGAAGAGTGAAGTCAAAACCCTGAATTTTAGGGCAGTAAACTTCCAGCATTTCAAGAAGGTAGTCAATAGGCCCTCCTGGAAAACTGCCCTCAGGGACAAGGGTGCAGAACAGAGATGGCAGAGATGGTCTTCAAGGATTCCTTCCACAGAGCGCAAGAGTTCTTGACACCAGTTTAAGAAATCAGGAAACCAAGGCAAGAGACCAGCACAGCTGTTTTAGAACTAAAGCACAGGAAGGAAATGCACAGGCAGTGGAAGCAGTGTACCAATACCAGCGGGGGCACAAACACACTGAGAGCAGCCTGCCCAGAAAAACCCGGGGGTACTGCTGGATGAGAGGCTGGACATGAGCCAGCAGTGTCTGCCTGCAGCCCAGAGAGCCAAACTCGTCCTGGGCTGTGTCCCAAGCAGCACGGGCAGCAGGTCAGGGGAGGAGATTCCCCCTCTCTGCTCTGTTTTGCTGAGACCCCACCCGAAGTGCTGTGTCTAGCTCTGGGGTCCCCATCACAAGAAGGACATGGACCTATTGGAGTCCAGAGGGTCATCAAGTTGATCAGAGGGATGAAGCACCTCTGCTATGAGGAAACACTGAGAAAATTGGAATTGTTCAGCATCACATAGTTTTATTCACTTAATTTTTTTGAATTAGAAGTTTTCTGTAACCTCTATTCTCTTGGTCTAGTTATTTTTTGAGAAACTGGGGGAGTCTGTATTATCTACATTTGCTGTCCTGTAAATCATTAATTAGAACAGGTAATTAGGTCACTTCACAACGTGGTTTGGGATTTTTAATAACTATCGTAGCTGTCATCTGAAACATCTCCATTCATAGATTACAAGAATGCACTAGTACTGTGGCCATTTTTTCCCTGGGCAAGAGTTCACTCCTCGCAGTACCACCTGCTGCTTCTTACTGTTCCTTGGCAAGACTGAGTTCCATACACTGCATACACCATCCTCAGCCTTTGACCTCACACTGGGTCCTTACTTTCCACATACTTATCTGACCCATTGTTCAGTGACACACTAGGATCTGAACATCTTCCTAATTAGCTTATTACACTGTCAATCTTTTGTTCCCTTTATATTGTATCTGTGTGAGGTTATGATTTAAAAAAAAAAAAAAACCAAAAGGCAAAAACTAAATGCATCAAGGACTTACTTATTACTGGACTCAGAGCAAGCATACACATTCACAAAGGTATTTTTTCATTATAGAATATAACTTATTTAGTTAATCATAGCATCTACAGTAAGTCAAATGTAATTATTACACTAGAGGTGTCATGATATACTATCTTTCATCTATACTATATATCTCACCATACTATACTTCTCAAGAGTTTCTTTACCTGCAAGTTTCAAATCCAAGCTCATGAGCTTTCTTCAGCTGCTCTAGTGTTGCCAAGGTGCTGTTGAGAGCTCTGCAGAGTTCAACTGCTTCAGATCGTGTGAGACTGTAGCGACCATTTTTTTCAACATGAAAAACTCCTCCATATCTGCAACTTACATTGAATTCTGTTATGAAAAGAAAAGAAAAAATGGTTAAAAATGTATACCTAATGCTTCACTGAAACCTGGTAATCAGTTGTTTTCAAGTATAATGCTTTCAAAGCAAACCCACAACAACAACCCACTACCAATTCATTCAGAAAAAGCACTGCTACTTTCAATCACCTTTTTCATTCTTTCCCTCTTTGGGCTGAGGCATGAGCCAAATCTCCAGCCTTCCCAAAAATAGCAATACAGCATGTTTTTGTAGGGTATCTAGGACATTTAACATACCATTAACACTAATGTGTAGAAGAAAGGGTTAATAATAATAATATCAATACAAATAATAATAATAATGTGCATAGAGAGAAATAGGGAAACAACAGGACACTTCAAAGCAATGTGAATTAATTTTTCTTCGCCCCACCTTTCCCTCAAGAGAAAAAAAGCAGTTGCCACTCCAGACTAGAATGACAACTGCAAAGCACACTTCATAGGAGCAGCTATTATTTCCAGTGCAAAGAGGAGCATGAATCATTTTTATCTTAATTTTAATGGAAGTTCCATGTGCAAGAAAGGGAAAAATAGAGCAGTCTTCGCCAATATTAAAAGGGTGTGTCCTTACTGTCTATGTGAAAAAGAAAAAGATGACATATAGAAACTGTTTTTCTAAAAGACAGATGCAATTCATGCACATTTACACTGACACGTTATAAATAATAAGCAATTTTCCAAATGTGATTTTTGCTTGATAGTCTATTTTGTTCTATAGCATAAATGTGAAAGCAAATTATAGTAATCAAGGTATGCACTCTTTCTTTAACTACTTTTGTCCATTTATAAATTGATGTTATTCTGTGTACAGGGTATCTACTCAGCGTAAACCTCAAGGAACTTTCCATAGCTCACAGGAAACTCTCAAGGAGACAAAATACCAGATTAGATGCAGGCTGGGTGATACATGAGAGGACAACCACTATTCACAGCATAGGAAGGAGTCCAATAGTATTGACGCTTGCTTGTCCAAAGGAGCTCAAAAGCTGTGTGCAACCCATCTTGAATGCTTGCACCATATGCAACAGAATTAATAATTTTTGTTACTTGGATAGCCTTTCACAAAAAGAACGGAAAAAAACCTCTTCTCCAACAATTCCACCTTCCCCAGTATATTGGCTGACCAAAAAAAATTAATTTAGACAAAATTAGTTTTTTCAGAGCTGTTTAACTGTCTTGCTGATTACAGTTCTTTGTATTTTTAATATTTTGTTGTCATATGTCATTAAAAAACATGGCCCTTCTGCCACTCCTTGACTACTGCTAGGATGGAGCTGCTCTCACATCTGCCATGCAAGTGACTTCTACTTTGGCTCCAAATATTTCATATTCAAAGCCTGATACTGTCTTGGAAGTTGTCCAGCCAGTAGCTGTATTAAGCACAGATGACCTAGATAAGAAAAGTTTCTCTTTAGTTTTCCCTTGATTCTCTCTTCCTAAAATGTACTCTGTGAGGCCCAAGACTTAATGTTAAATATGGGGATAAGATCACAAAGTTTTACTTGATTACTTTAAAGTAACAAGCTCAGTGATTTTGGAGATAAGTTTTCTTGGAGCATCAACATCTTTTCTGATAATTTTAGGCTAATTTCTAAAAAGCTTTTGCTGTGAAAGCAGATACCACGTACACTCGCTTCAGGTTCCATTTGATTGCAGTTAATCCTAGATTCACTGAATTATTAAGTGGAGTTCACTTTTGTTTAGAGTGAGTTGATTTAGCTATCATCAAACCTCAGCCCATTCCTGGTTTTGAACATTACAATTTATGCTCTATTACCACTCTGAGATTCACTCATAGTCAGGATTCTGCTTAGAGAGTCAATTACTTATACTTGTGCTGTTTAAAAAGTAGGCTTACCTACACAGATAGGCTCAATGGAACTACACGTGGGCTACATGCCTTCACATGTACATTTTCCATGGAAATGCCCAGCCTGAGTAGCCCCTTCTCACCAGGACACTGCTGGGAGGTACCAGGCTGACTGCACGTGTGCTGCCCAGCTGCACTGCATGCGCGCCCAGGAGCAAAGCCAAAGCTCCCAGGAAGCCCTGCTTGTGCAGCGTGAGAGATCACGTGGGTGTCCAGGAAACCCCAGGCAAAAATGTGGCAATCCAGTTCTCAAAACTGGCTTTGAGGCCATCCAATTCGCTGGCACAGTGCCCTAAAGTAATGCTGAGACAGCATCTTTGTCTTCACTTTGATGACATCTTCTACGCCTACTATTCCAAAAGTACCACTGCTGTAGCAGAGACACTCTGTTCATGAAGAGCTGAGTATAGAAAAAGGACCAAAGCAGTACCCAAAACTCACATGGAATTTCACTGTCTAAGCAAATTGCGTAAATTCAGCATCTAGTCTTTGAAGGCAGTAATTACCACATTTTAAAAATTACAAAATACAAACCCAGAGCTATCAGGGAACACAGCATTTTTACTGTACAGTCTCAGATTTTAATGTTCACACAATGGGGACCCTTAATTGAATTGACAAAATAAATTCTGATCCCACCAATAAATACCATATCAAAAACAAATGATGGGATCTAAATTAAATTAATACCTTACATTTTTTCCCATGCTGAGGCTTATAGAGTAATTTTGAATTAAGGAAGAAACATGGCTGTAAATTTAAATCAAAACACATATTTCACCTTTTCCCACAGGGCAGGAATGTCAAATCCATTAATTTTATATTGATGTTACTTAGCTGGCTGTAACATACTTATACAAAAGATGGATTTTTATTGTGTTCCAAGAGCCAAGGCAATGTAAAACTCATTCTGCGTGACAAACTATTGCTGATCCTTTTAACATTTTTGAAGCTTCAAAGGGGCTGACTCAGAGTGGACTCACAGTGAAATCACCAACAGCACGCAAACTTTCCCTCCTTCCCCCTCCTAGAGCTGTCTGGCTTTGGGGCCTGACAGGACACAATCCTTCCTTTCTTCCTTCACTCACATGATTTGCTACAGCTGTTTAATAATAGCCCTTGAAGAAGGCAAACGGTACGAAATGGTCTGAATTGTCATAATCATTAATCTCACCCAGACCGTGAGATTGGGTGACACAACCAAAGCCATGGAGAGCTCCTGTCTGTGCTGAGCTTTATGAGCATGGAAAGCACAAACTGCCACATTTCTCCCCGTCTTTGCTGGGATTTCTGGTGCCCTCTTTCAAGCAGCTGCATGCAAACCTTTCTCTGCTATCCTCATTCCCGTATCTAAACCAGGTTCAATTAATACTTGTCAGCCAAAATCACTAACTTTGGTTCCCAACAATTTGCCAGCTAGAGCCCACTGGTGGGGTAGAATCACCTCACACAGACGAAAGAGCATTGTCCTGTCAGAGAAGTGTGAGTTACACCCTGGTAATTAACAGGAGAGGCTTGTTAGAAACTGTCACTGTAAGGAACCAGGTGCAATTTCCATTTCCACCCTGATTCTGCAACCCTTATGTATAATGAGTAACACTGACTCACGCTAACTCTTCCCACTGGAATTAATTTTCCATGAAGATTTTTGGTATACTGTATGGATGTCTCATGCACTACTCCCCAATTTTCATTGTTTTCAAGACACCACCTGGGGGTTTCATTCTCAAGGTGGACACTGTCTTTTATTGGAGGGGAAAAAAAAACCCAAAAAAGGCAGCAGATCTTTAGCAACTGCAGAGAAACATCAAAGCAAACCAAGTGGAAGATCTGCGAACACCCTGCCCACTTGAGCGAAAGCAAGTGTAAGACTTGTACGTGCTAACAGACTTCTTGGTAAAACCGCTGAGCTGCATGGCAACCAGGAAATGTTAGGGGGATGTTTTGGTGGGGATTTTCCTCTTCAGTTTGTGGTTCAAGATGACTGATAGCTCACCAGGATGTGCTAAGCTGGGGCTGACAACAGGGACGGAACTAGAGGCTTGACAGTGCATACAGTTTTCATTCTCTTTAATAGATATAGGATTTACTATATATTAACTTACTGTAAGAACTTGGCTCTATATTTATTAAACTGATTTCTAGCTCTAGGCAGATATACACGGGTAATTGTCTTTTTATAATCACAGATTATTGAATTTTGTACTGACACTTCTGAACAGGAACAACCAGCAGCTTAGCACTGATATCTACATTATGAATATCACCACCTGCTTTAAATGCATGCTAGTAATGAAGTAGCAAAAAGTAACATACCAGAAACAGATTAAAATATATTTAAAAGAAAATCCTAGTCATTACTCTTCAGGCAAATCTATGAATTGGGCCATATGAGTCCTAAAATCTGAGGAGATCTGGATAATCCAGATCTTGTCTCTCAGTTCAGACCTATCTCTAGTTATACCTGGTTTTCTAATTGTTTTTCAAGAAAACTACTTCATGGCTAAATAAGAATGCATATTTTATTTCTGACTTAAGGAAATGGCCTCTGAATACAAAATTTCATATGGGATGGATTCATAAAACATTTCAGGATCCAAAACATTTTGTCAATGTATATATTACGTAAGTCTGATTACTGTCATTTTGACATCTGTGAGAATTTAAAATGTACAAAAATATTATTCAGTGATTACCTAATACACTACAATACACATGGGCCTGGAAAGCACTATTTGCTGAGTATTCTACCTTTTTTTTTGTCTATTAGTAAAAAACTTCACTCAAGCAACTTGCAGCCCAGGCAACTGTAACAGGATACAGAGGCTTTTACCTTTATGTCAGAAGTTGGACTAAAGCCCAAGTCAGTGATGAAAACCACTGGATAGCTGTTTGCTGGGTTATGTAAAATGATTCATTAATCCCAGCCACAGCCACTAATAGACACGTGTCGACATCATTAAAACACACCTATACTTGAATCCCTCGGGGCGTGATGAGGAAAGGAAAACTGTGCTGGGAAAATAGGACTCAAAACTGGGATGACTACACACTGATCAAAATTCAGAAGTCAAATTTGCAAGATCCACGTGAATGAAGC